AGACCGACACCCACAACAAAGAATTATCTGGCCCAAATATCAATAGTGCCATTATGGACAAACCCTAAGCTAAGCTAACTGGGTACTGCACTTGATTGGCAGCACTGGCTCTGTGATACTGTGTAATGGTTAAGAGCACCGCTTTGGCCATCTTAGAGCTGAGGGAGTTACTAGCCATGTGACCTTGGAAAGTTCATCTAAGGTCTCAAAACTTCACTTTGCTCATCTACAAAATGTGGGCTCATAGGGTTGCGGTGAGGATTAGCTGAAACACATGTTGATAACCAACAGCATGAATTTATCGTATGCCAGATACATTACAAGCACATGACACGTGTTAGTTAAGATGATGACCACTGCCCTTGCTTTTCTTCACTTCTACTTTCTTAATAATGTTGCCATCTTTTTCCTTCACCCTCATTCTGTTATTCTTCTCTCTCCCTCACTTATCTTTTACTTCTGTCTCTCACATACATGTTGCATCTTAGAGAGCAGAATATGTGCCCTCCAAAATTACTAACATCAAATAAAATTAATTCCCTAAAATTAAGGAAGCAAGGGAAGGAGTATATAAATACCTGGTCAAATGAAGATCATGTATACAAGCATGACCAAATTAGCTGGTCCAGTCAATTTGTGATTTAAGTCACAGAAAACAGCCAATAACCAAAACTAAACTGCATCTGTCATTAAAATATCTTAAGACACCAAATTTTATAGCAGTCTGTATATTTTTAAAGGAGGTTTGCTGGTGCAGTGGTTAAGTACTCAACTGCTAATCGAAAGGTCAGCAGTTCAAACTTACCAGCCGCTCCGTGGAAGAAAGAATGCGGCAGCCTGCTTTCATAAAGACTACAGCATTGAAAACCCTATGGGGTAGTTCTACTCCGTCCTACAGAGTCCCTATGAGTCAGAATTTGACTCAACAGCAATGGGGTTTTTTGTTTTATATATTTTAAAGATCTGTCCAAAGCACTGTGAATCCACCTTATTTTGCTTGTGGGTGGAAATAAACTATTTTCCAAAGATGATGTTGTACTGTGTGCCATAGAGTCGATTCCGACTCATAGTGACGCTACAGGACAGAGTAGAACTGCCATGTAGGGTTTCCTAGGCCAAAATCTTTACAGGAGCTGATTGCCAGGTCTTTTTGCCCATGTTGCCACTGGTAGGTTCGAACTACCAATCTTTTGGTTAGCAGCCAATGCTTAACCATTGCACCACCAAGGCTCTTTTTTCCAAAGATAATCAGGTCTTAATAACTTGGCACTACAGTGAGGCAGGCTTTGTTTCTGGGTGACACTGAGGCACAGCTGTGGGGCCTCGTGGGGCCTGGACTGAAACTCCAGCGGAAGGATTTGGTGCGGAGCTATCCATATGCACTGCCTCCTCTTGTCCAGACATTTTCCCTGAGCTCCTGCTGTGTGAGACGCTGCGCCCTTCAGCACACACTCCATGCATTTTCACCACATTCTGTCTTGCTCCCTCCTCTATGTTCCCAGAGAACCTTATACATCTTGGCATTATATACATATACATATATATATATATATACATATATATATAAAACACATACATATCATCTGGTACTAAAACTACTTGATCACACATCTACCTTCTCTACACTGTGAATTTCCAGGCACACTTTTTCATCTTATTCAGCTTTGTGTTCCCAGCATCAATCACAGTGCCAGGCACACATTAGGTGCTCAATAACTGGTTCCGAAGTGAAAGGGCCCTTTCTACTTCTTACATCCCTGTACAATCCTACTCACTGTTTCGGATTTAGCTCAAATGTCACCTTTTCCCTGGAGCAGGGACCAGTGGGGCTGTCTATGCTATCATCGCTGCTTTGTTTCACTGTCAACACTCACAAGTCAGCCTCCACCACTAAGCTGTAAACTCTTGGTGGCAGGGTGTCTGTCCTGTTCATGCTCATACCCTGCCAACCCAAGGATTTAGCACAAGGCCTTGCATAGAGCAGATATTCAACAAATTTCCCAGCGTGAAGGAATGAGGCACTGAAAGAGGTAAATCCTCCCCAAGCTGATGCATTTTAATGGCATGATTTGAGGATGTGTCATGCTTGATGGTGAACAATCTCACTCTCGCTTATTTAGACCCCAGATCCAAACAAGCAATTCATGACCTCCTAGAGCCACCGCTGCAGACAGCTTGCACTATTTACCAAGTGTCCATCTATAGAGAGCACTGTATGAGGTACTGAAGGACCAGTCTCCACCCCTGCTCCTGGGGCCTTTACCCACACTCCAGGTGCCACAGGGCCCAGGACCCAGCAATCGGTCTTTAAAAATTAAAAGATGTTTTTAACACAACAATGAGATCTCATTCCTCCCCACTGCTAACAAACCTGCAACAATTTTTTTTTTTTTAATCAGTCTTGATAGAATGCTGAGAAAATAGCTGCTGGGGTAAAACTCTGTACAACTTACCAAATGGCAATTCGCCTTTTATGTATCAAGAGTCTTGAAAGTGAGATTACTGTACTGAAAACACAGCAGTTCCACGAACATAAATGTTCCTCAAAGTGCTAGATATAATAGGCCATTTGAAACTACTTAAATATCCAATGATAGGGGACTGTAAAAAAAAAATTATAGTACACCCATAGGATGCGATGCCACATAACCATTAAAAATCATGTTCTCGAAGAATATTTGCAGATGAGACAAAATGCTCATGATCACTTATTAACTGAAAAAAGCAGGTCACAAAACCACATGTGCCATAAAACCCACTGTCATCAAGTCAACTCTGACTCATAGCAACCATACAGAACAGAGTAGAAGTACCCTACAGGGTTTCCAAGGCTGTAATCTTTATGGAAGCAGACTGCCACATCTTTCTCCCATGGAGCACTAGTGGGTTTGAACTGCCGACCTTTCAGTTAGCAGCCAGGCACTTAACCACTGGACCACCAGGGCTCCTTACATATGCCACAAACCTACTTAAGAAACTTTACTGTACATGAACTAAAAAATACTGGAAGCCTCCTTTGCCATGAGGCCAGAAGAAAGGAATGGTACCTGGCTACCAGTACTGAATGTTTTGAACAAGGACCCAATAGATGGATCTTGATCAAAAGGAGGAAAAATGTGGAACAGAACTTCAAATTCTTATTGGAAATCAGACTTACTGGATACATTGAGACTGGAGGAACCCTTGGGTCTATTGCCTGAAAACAACTTTTAAGCCTAGAACTGAAACTATCCATTGAAGTCATCTTTAAACCAAACAACTTAGCTCATTTAATAAAGAATGTTGCCTTGAGCATCACGCTCTTTTAAGGGATTATCTATATGAGATTAAATGGACAACAGAAACTCTAAAACACAGATGAGAACTTTAAGGGGCAGAGTCTAGGTTAATGGTGGTGAAACAACATAGGCAGAGATAGGGAGAATGGTGACACAATGTGAAGTATGTGACCGTTGTCAATGAACTGTACATGTAAAAACTGTTGAATGGGTGTATACTCTGTTGTGTATACTTTCACCAAAAAGAAAAAGTTAATAAAAAAAAAAAAAATACTGAAGACAAATATACTAAAAACAAACAGTGACTGCTACCAATTGGTGGGATTATGAGTATTTCTTGTTTTATCCTTCTTATTTTCTGTACTTATTCTGTTATTGGAAAAAACGGTATTTGGAGAAGATTACTGATTAATTTTGACTGATGGTGTTATTCTACATTCACCACATAGCGGCAGAGCCAAAAGAACACTAGCCATGGGCTGGGTCTTATTGATGAGGACACAGGGAACATTCCCTCTGAAGCCCCCCACTGAGGTGTGGGCTCCAGATGGACCACCCAACTACCCTCATTGGCTGAAAACCTGATAGTCCCAAGGGAGCCTGGGGCTTATGTCACTCAGTGACAAGATGCGTGCTGGTCCACTCTGTGTTGTCCCTGACGCGACTACTATCTGCCTCCCCAGTTTCTGGTAAATCACAGAACTTGGGTCTATCCTCCCTGCCCTCATGAAGTCCAACCCTGCCTGTGATGAATAAAGTGACCATCAACAAGATTCTAATAAACATGATGAATCTAAGGGTTAGAAACTCACTGCCAGAGCCCGCAAGATGCGCACAACTGCCTCTGACAGCATAATGCAGGGTCTGAGAGGACCTGCTAGGTGTAGCAGGCCACCAGCAGTGCCATTCCTGACTGTCTGAGCCAGCTACACTCAGGAGAGGAACAACCAGGCTTTTAAAAGCACACAGTTTCTCCTAGATGCCACTGTCTTTATTCCCTAGGCTGTCTTTATTTCCTAGGCTGTCTTCCTTCCCCCAGCTCTCCCTCCAGTTCTGAGCTAAGCTACCCTTTTTACCTTTTCAATGCCCCTTTCCTGTGGAGGAGTGAGGGTATTTCCTCGCTGGGCTCCACCCGTCAAGCTTGGGCCAAGCCCAGGCAGCACGTTGGGAAAGAAAGAGCAACAGAGTCAGAAGACCTGGACATTTCACCTCTCTCGGCTTCTGTTTCTTCTGTTCATCTGTAAACTGAGAATCAGAGGTTTCTAGAAGTTTTTTTGAGCAATGCAACCTCTGTTTAAAAAATAAAACTATCGGCAATATCACCACCACCAGTTGCCGTGGAGTCCATTCCGACTCATGGCGAGCCCATGTGTGTCAGAGTAGAACAGTCCTCCACAGAATTTTCAATAGCTGAATTTTCAGAAGTAGATCACCAGGCCTTTCTTGTGAGGCACCTTTGGGTGGACTTGAATTGCCAACCTTTTGTGCAACTGTTTGCAACACTCGGGGACTTCATAGATCAGATAAAATCAGAGGTGCTCTGATTGAAGGGATGGAAGAGGCAGAACTCCACTTTCTCATCCTCCCCCACAGCAGAGGCCCCCTGACACTATCCCAAGAATCTAAGACAGTTTGAAGTCACTGGACTAGATGCTTTCTCAGGCTCCACCCTGTGCACAAACTCCTTAACTCTATGATGCTCTAAGTCTGAGGCACACTTACCGGTCGATAGCAATGACCCCGAGGGTGAGCATGCTGGCCGAGCTGATCAGCAGGTAGAGTAGGGCGGAGAAGTTGCACCAGACCACACCAAAGATCCATTCCCTCCGAATGGAGCTTGTCACCACGAAAGGCAGCACCAACACAGACAGCAGGAAGTTAGACAGGGTCAGGCTGAAGACGAACTTGTTGCTGAGGGTGAGGAGGTAGGACTTCTTGTACAAGGTGACCACGATAACTAGGTTGCCCAGGCAGACAAAAATGGTGATGACAATGATGGCGATGAACTCAGTGACAAGGCCGTCCCCTCCACTGCCCTCCACCACAGTGAGGTTGCTCAGCTCCTTCCTGTGGCCGAGGGAGGAGTTGAGGCTCATGGTCAGTGCGCCTCTGCGTGGGGTGGGCAGAGCATGCTGGACAACTGGGAAAACAGGGCAAGACCAGGAGAGAGTCATCAGATCATACCATCTCCACTTTTCTCAAGAGGACCCCGAGGTTGATAAAGGTTTGGTAGTGTGCCCCAGGTCACCCGGCTAGGCCAGCAACACTGAGCCAGTCTTCTGCACCCAGCCTCCATACAGTGGGCTATTTTCTGCAACCAACTCTGTGTGTGACTCACTATGTCCCCATGAACAATCTATTCCTCCTGTCTAAACCACCCTACCCTTTTTCCTGAGGCCAGTAGTTCAAAACCTTTAACGTGCTTAAGAATCACTTGGAGTGCCAGTTCAAAAAGCCTGCTGTTAGTCTCCACCAACAGAGATTCTGATTCGAGAGACTAGAGGTGCAGCCTCGGAATCTGCATTTTAAACAGCCAAGTTGAGAGGAGGCAGATGATTCTGTTACAAGTGGTCCATGAGGCACACTTTGTGGACTACCATTTCTAGACCTGGCTATGCAGTGTGGTCCCCGAACCAGCAGCATCAGCATCACCTGGGAGCTTCTTAGAAGCGCAGAATCTCAGGCCCCACGTCTGGCTTACAGTACTACAATCTGTATTTTAACTCTGTCCCCAGGGGATTCAGGTGCACATGAAAGTCTGACTACCAGATTGTGGCAGGAACTATTCTGAGTTCCCTGAATGGGGTTTAATCAAGTACAATACATACTGAAACATTGTTATTGCTCTTGTCAGACATGGTAAGGGAGGGCAAGGATCAAGCACTCACCATAAATGGGTACGTGGAGGCACAGTTTAAGGACTTGGCCCACAGTTACCATTCTCTACAAGGTGCAATTCCTGCTCCCAGAAAACTGGCTCCAGAGCCTGGCTAAAATTATACTTTGGCTAAAATTCAAGGATGACATATTTTAACATTAAATAATACAGATTTAATGTTTCTCCAAAACTTTTAGTCGATTTTAGTCAGCCAAAAAATCCCACAGATTGCCTGCTCTGGTTTTCCACAAACAGAAGACACTAGAAAGACTGCTTCCCATGAGCTAGTACCCTGGTGCTTAAACTGCCTACACAAGGCAACAAAACCTTCCCCGCACCCTCCTGGTGACCTGGCATCTCCATCCAAACACTTCTGGCCACAGGGAGGCTACAGAGTAAGGCAGCCTTCCCCTTTGCCAGCAGTCCTAAATGCTGTCTGAAAGTCTCCCTTCTAGGCAGCCTGACTGCTACAGCCAATACCAATCCAGGGCTTGCTCGCTCAAGCGGCACCACACAATTCTAATCCCTCTTCCACCTGACAGCCTCCAAACACTTTATAAAGTTACCTGTTTTCCCTTCTCTGGATTAGATCTCTCCAGTTGCCTTCTCTGGATTAGATCTCTCCAGTTCCTGATCGTTCTTCACTATATAGTTTCCAGACCCTTCAATAACTTGGCCTCCCTGCTCTGGATTCATTCAAAGATATCTACGACTCTCTTGATTTGTGGTCCCCAAAACTGAACACATCACTCTAGATGTGGTCTAGTGGGTATCCAACACAAAGGGGCCATTCCCTCCGTAGCCAGGGTAATCTCCTTCCACTGGGCACTCTAAGGTTACACATTCTTCCAGCAGCTCTATCATCCTGCTGGTCTTACATAAGTAAGTAGTCAACTGAAACCTGAACTTTACATATGTATGCATTTATCTGAAGACCCCAGTCCCAATTTTGAACTTAAAGAATTAAGTTTTTAAGCTTAAGTATAAAACATTATTTCTGCTAAATTTTATTTTGTGCAATTTTGGCTCATTATCTCCAGGCTGCTAAAATATTCTGAATTTTGATTCAATCATGCAATATATTGTTTCCTCCAGCTTTGTGCTGTGAACATGTTTTATCAGAATGCCTTCTGTGTCTGCGTCTTTGTAAGGTGATTTCTGATTTTTGTGTTTATTTGGTGAGTTCTGGTTTTTGTTAACTCTTATGTAAGTTATTAATTGGTATCTCAAAATAAACTCTCTACATAAACATATTACTCTGGAGTTAACTGAACAAGTCTCAGTATAGTGTAACATGGTAGTTAAGAAAATGGAATTTGAGTCATTAGACAAATTGGGGGAAAATATTTACAGCTTACATCACAGATAAAGGACTAATCAACCTAATTTATTAAAAAATTCCTTAAAAATCAAGAGAAAAAAGATGAAAAACCAGATAGAAAAATGGGTAAAAGACATAAACATAGAGTTCGCAGGAAAAGATATACCAATGGTACTTAAACATAAGAAAAGATGTTCAATTTCACTCAAAATAAGAGAAATGCACATTAAAACTACAATGAGATACCATTTCTTTCCTTTCAGACCAGCAGAAATCCAAAAGCATGGCAACACTCTTTGCTGGTGAGGCCGTGGGGAACAGGCCCTCTCCTGCACTCCAGATGAGAACGGAAAATGGTGCACCCTGTGGAGGGGCTTGGTAATATCTAACACATATGCATTTACCCCGTGACTCAGAAATTCCATTTCTAGGTTATTTACCCTGAAGATACAAGTTCATAAAATGAAGTAACAGATGCACGAGGGTATTTTACTCATCAACTCCCTAGCTGAAAAAAAAAAAAAAAAAAAAAAAGGAAAGAAGTGAGAAATAAGAATGCATACGCACATACACATACATAAATATATGTGTGTGTATTTATGCTAATTATTTAAAAGCTAACATTAGTTGGGTTTCTGTTATTTGAGTCAAAAGCAACCAAACTCCCTACATTTAGATGTATGCTTGAACATTTTCTGGAATTAAAGTAACACAGGAGTCCTCAGATTGAAAAAGCACATCAAGTTCTGAGAATAAGCCAGAATAAGCTAACATCAAGGCACATCATAATGAAAATCACAAACATCAAAGAGAGAAAATAGTAAAAACAAATTTGCCTATAAAGCAATAACAATTAGATAAACAGCAAACTCTTCAAAAGAAAAATAGAGGGCAGAAAACAGTGTACTAAGAAAAAAAACTGTTGCCCGAAAGTTCTACATCATTCAGGAGAGAGGGCAAAGGTACTTTCGAGGTAAATAAAGCCTGAATGTTTACTAATGACTTGTCACTGAATTATCTAGTCAAGGAAAATTTTCATGAAGAAGGAAACTGAATCCAGAGATAAGGGGTAGATCAACAGAAAAGATGGTAAATATGTGGATAAATCTAAATTAAGAACTGTAAAAAATAAAATTTAAATTTAAAAAGCCAAACATCAACAACAAATATTACAGAAATAGCTAATTTGAAAGATTTAAAACAAGATGAAACTAAAATAATAAGCAAAATGGAAACTCTTAAAGGTGTGATTGGAGTAAAATGTTCTAAGTTAGTACGTACACGTGTCAGGGACTCCCGTTACAGTTATTTCTCTAGCACCTGGACAAGTGCCTAGCACACAGTAGGTACTCAGTAGTTATTTACTGACAAGTGACTAGCTTTCAAAACTTTTGTCAGTATTAAGTCAAAGACAACTGTTATCATTATAAAGGTAACCAATGAAAGAATAAAAATAGGACAAAAAACTTGTAAATCAGAAGATGGAAAAGGGGAATAAAGTACTAGTTGACCTCCTTCCTCTCTCCAGTGGCCTATTAGCTGGCACACTAGTGAACTGTAGGATAAGAGAAGCCAGGATTGGACACAGTCCTTGAGGTCCTCTGGTCCAACCTTCCACAGGAGGCAAAGGAGGAATATGGGCCAAAGATCTGCCCACCCAGAGAAATCCAAAATTCCAGCCTCTGTTAGGAAGCCTGGAGTTGGGAAGGCACAAGTCCCAGCAAATCCCCCAGGGTATACCGTTAAAGAACAAGAAGAGGGGATTTGGAATGCTCCAGCCAGGGGAGGCTTCCTGGCAGGCAAGCAGCTTACGCAGGGTCTGACATGCCAGGGCACTTTGAATGGAAGCAAATTCAAGTGTGACTCACATCACCACTCTCCTGTGCAGTTCTGTTGCCAGACACAAACGTGCTTCAGAACTCCCACACTCACTCACTCCTGACCTGCCAAATAAACCACCTTGTATTCTCCTCTGAGAAACAACTAGACAGTAACATGATGGAAGTCTTAATAGACGCATCAGAAATTACTCTGAGAAAGAGGACGATCTCTCTCTTACAGGTCACCAAGGAAGGTCAACATTTACTCGCCTTTACTGCCACAGCTCAATGTATCACGGTCACTCCTCACTTGGAACTGCCTTCAGTCTTCTTGAACATTCCAGAAGACAGTGAATCACTGCTGGACTACACTACTGCCACAGCCTCAAGTCATTCAAAGTCAAATCTTGTCACTCAAGTGAGTGATCAATAACAGTTCGGGTTAAAAAAACAAAGCAACACCATAGAGTTTTGAGATCTCTATTGTATATTTTGTAAACTGGTTTGCATGGCAATTTACAAGAAATAATTCCAGAAATGCTTTTAGTTGCAAGGGCACTTGCAAGGGCAGGTTCTCTCCAGGTGATTTCCTCAAGGGAAAGCACTTACCAAATGTTAAATATTACTTATTTAGTCATATAAATTTGCTTTTGATCTACCTATACTGTATTTTTTTTCCCTACTCATATTGCTGTCACCCTGCACACATCAGAAAGATCACGTGGCATGGTGGTCAAGTGCACAGACTCTGAAGCCAAGCCACCTGGATTTGAAGTCCAGCTCCTCCAGTTTTTAGCTAGGTAAGCCTAAGTCAATAGTTGACTTCTATTTCCTTGCCCATAAAATGAATATTACCTTCTCACAGCATGCTGTGAAGACTAAATAAGTTTATGAACAGTGTCTGGCACACAGTGAGCCCTCATTGCATGTTAGCATTACCGTTTGAAAAGGTTACCCTAATTTTATTTTGGGAAACCACCCTTCCTTTGTTTTTAGACCATGTAATTTGGATGAGGAGCCCTTGTGGCACAGCAGTTAAGAATTCAGCTGCAAGAGGCAGGGCCAAGATGGCAGAGTAGTTAAACGCTTCCTGTGGTCCCTCTTACAACAATGACCAAAAAAAACAAGTG